ATCTCACAACCGTCTAAATCACTATCTAGGACCTCTAGATCTCTAACCGTCTAAATCACTATCTAGGATCTCTAGATCTCACAACCGTCTAAAACACCACTAGGGATCTCTAGATTCCTGAACCGTCTAAAACACTACGGGGGATCTCTAGATTCCTCAATCGTCTAAAACACTACGGGGGTTCTCTAAATTCCACTTACTTTAACTTTTTCGTCCCTCTAGTATCCTTAAATAGGATGTCGAGGGGAGGTGCAAGTTTCGGTCCTGTGCTAGGTGTGTAGCGTCTGTGAATGACAATGTGTTATGTTGTCCCAGGACTGTTTTAACCCCACACAGCAAGGTCTTTCTTGGTCTTCCTCTTAATTTGAAGCCGCTAGCCGCTAGTTGCTTCTGGGGCATTCTGGTTGAATGTCCAAACCATTTGACTCTTTCTATTTTATTACTGGTGGTATTCCAGTTTGTAGACGACGTATGGTTTCGTTTTTTTATGCGATCTCTTCTGGTGACGTGGATGGTTTTGCAGAGACACATCATTTCGCGTGCATTGATTATTCTTTCTTGTGCATTGTTTAGAGACCATGTTTTGCACTGGTATTGTAATGTTGGTATGAAGATGCAATTGATGAGTTGGGATTTCACTTCGGTTGGAATGTTCTTCCGACTGAGCAGGGGTGCTAGCTGGTAGGTCACAGTATTTGCCTTCATAGTTCTTGTTTCTATTTCTGTGTCCATTCGCCCATCTTGTGTGAAGATGCTTCCCAAATATCTAAAGTCCTCTACTTGTTGGAGCTTATCCATAACCGGCTTGCTAGGCCCGTCTCAACTTCACCAAAGCGACGTTGGCCACCGACGTTTTAGGATGACCCGTGTTGGCCTTCACGGCTAGCGTAGCGCCTCAGTGACATGAAGCCCCACCGTACTTCACTCAGACCCAACTATCCATTACTTTGTCCTGTTTCCGTCTCCCTCGGTGTGGACGGGGCGTTGGACTTTTGGAGACCTAGATACCACAACCGTCGAATCCACTTTCTGGAAGTCTCTAACTTCTTACTTACTTACTACCCGTTACGCCATCTGACGTTTAGGGCAGCAACAAAGGATCTCCAGCTCTGTCTGTTTTGGGCCATCTTGGTCAACGTCCCCCACGAATGATTCCAGGACTTCATTTCAGACTCCACAGTGCATCTCCAGGACACTTTGGGTCTGCCCCTCTCGTGACCTCCTTCGGGTGTCCAGTGGAGGGCAGTCTTCACAATAGAGTCTGCTTCTCTTCTCAGAACATGACCAATCCATTTCCATCTTCTCCTTGGAGATCTCTAAATAAAGCCGTTATTCCAATAAAGACATCGATTGACATTATGACATTGCATTTTCCTTCTATTTCGTTATTTTTCTAATTTTTGATATAAAAGAAAATAATTTTTTTCTACCCGTGGTTCTAGTAAGCCTGCTAGATCGTGAAAGATAATTAAGTGAAATATGATTTGTAGGCCTATAATATCATGTCTTGTTATGTCTACAACGTAATAATAACAGTTCGTTGGTTGATGTCTGCCGGTGACCCACAGGTCCGCAGAGTAGAACATTCTTTCTCAAACAAAATAGGAGAATTGGAAGAGATAAATGATAAGATCACTTGTGGTTTCTGCTATGGCAGATGAGACTAAATCTGACGGAGAAAAGTTTGCTAAAAGACTTATGCAAGCCTGCTGCCACCGCACTCACCCATCACTGCCGGGATTCGATGGCGATAGACTACTCAGAAAAGAGAACTTGCGCCCAAGGTTTGTTTATAGTGAGAAAGAACGGTGCTAACACCAGACGTACTCTCTCGTCTAAATACAGGGTATTTGATGAAAAGGTAAAAAAAGGTAAAGACAAGACTCTGATTAGTATCTAGGTGCAGCAGGTTTGTCAGAATATCGTCTACGTTAAAGAGCAGACTGCCGAGAGATATGTATGAGTCGAAAACCATACAGGCACTGCTTTTTAGCCTATTGCTGCTTTTCAAGCAGATTTTCCACCTTGAACAAGACGGGAAAAAAAGTTGCGATCACGCTTGCTAAGTTGAGGAGTCTTGTTGGGAAAGAAATAAAAACAAATGATAAAAAAAAAAAAAAAAAAAAGCCTAGACGGATCATCTTCCAGGCAAATAATGTTTTTCTGTTCGTTTGTAATAAAGCAACTAGTGAACACATTTCACTAAAAGGGGGTCAGGGAGTACACCCAAAAAGTCCTGATTTGGCTCAAAATTAGGGATTTTGAGTTGTTTTTAGCTTCTTCAGCCTCTTTTACAACTATTTTATAGCCTTAGAACCCCCTAACGCCTTATTTTTATCTCATGTCGGGCGTATTGTTACTGTCATTTCCCTACAAAGTCAATCTTTTATTTTCCTTTATCACCAGTTTTCTCAAAACGCGGTTTTTCTATACATGTACTTAAAAAAATAACTCCAGTATAATTTCTCATCAAATTTTCATAACATTTTTACAGAATGAA